TCTCTGGGTACTTAATTATAGAGGGGATAAGAATTAAGCAGAACTTTCCCCAAATGTCTGTACATGTAGAAGATACTAAGTAAGAATTATGAAAGTAAATGCAGTTGACCCTTGAATAGCACGTGGGATAGGGGTACCAACCTTGTGCATAATTGAAAATCCACATTGAGTTTACAGTTGTCCTCTTCAACAACATGTTTCCTGCTGCTGTAGTGGTGAGCTCATGTGTCAGGAGAATCAGATTCAAACATCGTGGTGCTAATCCTTTCTGTGTGAGTTACTGGAGAGAGAAACTGCTGGCTCTCAAGAGGATTAGCGTCCCCGGCATTTTGAGCTCATTGCAAGAGCAGCAGGAAAAACAATCCGAGTCTAGCTGAGCCCGTGCTGAACCGACTTGACGGCACTGAAAAACAAGAACAACAGATAAACGTCTCATTAACTGTTCTTTAACCAATCAGGAACTATTGATCTAATAGAAAGACAAGTTAATTTATATGACTATAAGGAGCTCTGGTAGCATAGTGGTTACAAATCAGGCTGTGAACCTTAATTTCAGCAGTTCGAAACTACCAGCTGTTCTGTGGGAGAAAGATGAGGCTTTCTGCTCCCGTAAAGATTTACAGCCTCGGAAACCCTATACAGGGTCGCTGTGAGTCGGAACCAACTCCATGGCACATCACCACCACCAATAAACTAGAAATCATAGGATTAGCCCTGTATTTCTTAGCATAATGGTTTTCAAGTGAGGAAGGAAAGTGGGAAGGAGAAGTTTGCCCCCAGACCTATGAGCTTCGATCCTCTTGAGCTGCTGGTAATGGTGAAAGTGCTTACAGCGACATGGCTTTAGAGGTGGGGGGACAGCAAAACCCATCAGCACTGCCCAATATGTGCAGCCATAGTATATTCATGTAAATAAACTCTAGGTGCAAGATTGGGTAGATTAGAGATCTAGACACTGAGCTTGTAAAATAAATGCAAGTGGTTGTGATTATAAAAACTCTTTAATACTCATTTTCGAATCTGATACTGGTAGAGCTCCTTCCACCCTCTGCTACTCTGCTAGATAAATTAGTGGAACTCAAAGGGGGATGGCATACATGCAGTTACTGAGTTGTTGTTGTTGTTTAGTTTCTTTTCTCTCAGTCCTGCCCCTCTCTGATTAATGCTCCACTTTGAAACCCGAGCTCTCAGGTGGTCACCTGGCTGTTATAATCTCTTTGCAGTTAATCAGTGTCTTCTCGTTGCTCTTAGGATGAAGTCTTATCCACTTAGCTTTGCTCACAGGAGCCTTCATGACGGGCCCTGCTCTTCTGTCTGTGTTCTTCTTTTCCCCTTTCGCCTCGTGCTGTGAACTGCACTCCTATTCTGTTACTCCACACTGGTTTTTATGCTCTTTCTGCACCTTTACTGACCTCTCCTTCCCACCCTAGGTGCCCTTGTTATGTGCTTCTGTGGCACCATAGTAACCCTGGACTGAAATGTTGTTGTTGTGACGTGCCATCTAGTTGGTTCCGACCCTTAGCGACCCTGTAGAGGGTTACTGAGGAGCGGGTGGTAGCTTGAACCAATCACTGACCTTGCAGTTCAAACAGCTTTGCAGTGTGGCGCATTAACCCACAGCGCCACACCAGGACTCCTAGACTGAAATAGTGCCCTCAGTATAGCCCGACTCACTGCTGTTGAGTTGATTGGGAGTTTTGGCTGCTCTGTAGGGCTTCCGAGGCTGCAATCAATCTGCGGGAGCAGACAGCCTCATTTCTCCCAAGTTGTAGTTAGCTGGTGGGCTCCAGCTGCTCATGTTGTGCTTAGTGGCCCAGTGCATCACCCACCACAGCCTATTTATTAAGCTCCTCTTGGACAGGATTCGGTCCTGATTATTGGGCTCAGAATAAATGTTTTTCACATACTTTATTGTTGTTAAGTGCTGGCCAGTAGATCCCAACTCATAACAACCCTGTATAGGGTTTCTGAGAAGTGAGTTTGAACTGCCGACCTTCTGGTTGAGTGCTTATCCAACAGCATCACACACCAGGACTAGATGCTCAAATCTTTGTTGTTGTTGAATTGAACATCAAGTTGTCTAGTACCTTCGAATGTTTGTTTTCGAATCACAACATTTTGAATAGAATTTCTTAGTAACTTGCAACATTACTGTTATAGTGCCCCTTATTTTGAAACAAAACCAATTTATTTTTCCTCACTTATTCTTGTAGGTCCAGAGAAAATTCTTTATGGGAAATCAAGTTCTAAAGGTTTTTGCAGCAAAAGATGATGAGGTGAGTTCACAATGGGACTTTGAAGTAATGCTGCCAAGTTGAGTTGTCATTTTATGAAAGTGAATTGTTTTGTGCTTTTATGACTTCAAATGACATTAATTCTTGCAACAACAGAGAGAAAATTCACTAGTCTTTAACTCTGAAAATGGAGAAATGATGAAATGAATTTGTTGTAACATGAGTGCAAGGCCTGGGAATATAGTCCTGAGATTGGAGACTGGTGTTACGGGCCACTGAGTTGGCTCCACTCAGAGAGACCCTGTATAGGAGCGGCTGGTGAACTTGAACCACCGACCTTGTGGTTCAAACTGTCTTTGTGGTCCAGTGCTTCATCACACAGTGCTACACCAGGACTCCAATGAGAGACTTTGTTGTTATTGTTGTTATAACGCTGTTGAGTCAGTTAAAACAAAAGAAATGTGAACAACGGTATTTAGATGTGGGAGTTTCCTGGTCACATGGTAAAGAATATTTCAGGTCAGGATGATGTTCTCATCCTACTGACATCTGACATCTGGTAAGAGTTCATCTTTTCCAATGAAGATACTGTTTCCCCAAACAAGGTCACGTTCATAGGATGGGGGTTAGGACTTCAGCATATGTTTTTCTGGGGACACAAGTCAATCCCTAACAGGTGGCCACATCTGCACACTTGTTAAGTCTCCAACAGCCTTTATTACCAACAGCCACAATGTTGGAAAGGGAATCTTGTATCATGTGGGATGTTAAAATAGATGAGTGCTATTTGTTTTCAACTGAAATATTCTGTAATTTAGTGAATCATTCCTTCTCACAAATGTTTTCTCTGATCAGTCACATCATTTTTGTGTGTAGAAAATCTACTTGACTATGCTGATTTGCACTGTGCATGGAAGAGGAGGAGATGAGAAAGGAAGTGGAACTGGAGATGTGGTTGAGTTAGGCCCAGCATTGGCTAGTGCTGGCGAGTTGCTGTCAGTTCCTAGCCTCCCTAGTTAGGGTTCCTGAGACTTTAAATCTTCAGGAGCTGAAAATTCCTCTACCAGAGAGGCTGATGGGCTCAAACCACAGACTTTTCAGTTTACAGTCCAGTGCTTATCATATGGCATCCTGTGCTCCCATATACAGTGTGTTGTTGTTGTTGTAAAGTGCCATAGAGTCAGTTCCAACCCACAGCGACCCTGCACAGGGTTTCTGAGAAGCAGCTGGTAAGCTTGAATCGCCTTGCAGTTCAAACAGCTTTGCAGTCTGGTGCATTAGCCCACAGTGCCACATCCATATTGTTGTTGTTATGTGAGTTGTTGTTATGTGCTGTGGAGTTGGTTCCCACTCACAACGACCCTGGACAGGGTTTCTGAGGCTGTAGCATTGTGTTCTTTCGTAGCGGTCATTCACGACTCCACCCATCCTCACTTGATATATCCCCTTGGTCCTATCACCACCACCAATCAGTCACCCAAACTAGCAGTCCCGAAAGTCTCTGATAACATCTACTTTCTCATTCCTCACCTTCAACTACCAAATTCTACCTCTGCACTGTTGCCCACACGCACTGGTTCTCTGCCAAATGTCCAAACAAACTGGAGTAATCTCTTCTCTGACTCCCACTGAGTTTATCTGATGCTCTTATTTTGTTGTTGTTGTTAAGTGCCGTCGAGTCGATTCTGACCCATAGCGACCCTGTATAGAGTTTCCGAGGAGCAGCTGGTGAGCTTTAACCACCGACTTGCAGTTCAAACGGCTTTGCAGTCTGACTCATTAACCCACAGCACAACACCAGCTTACAATTAGGATGTACATACTCTGTATTTAGTGTTTATCTTATTTTTGCTAATAAAGTATGTAAAAGCTCTTGTATTGCATATGGGCACTTAAGTAAATGATCCTTGAAGTGAACTGAAAGAATAATGAATCTTTTATGAAATCTGTAGAGGATTTTCACTGTAGGATAAGCACTGGCCTGCTAACCATGAGGTCAACGGTTCAAAATCACTGTCCTTGGAAACCCTTTACTGAGTCGCTATGGGTCCGAGCCGACTCAGTGTCATTTAACAACATTAAGATCATAGACTTTTAGTGGAGTAAATGGGAATATACATAGCTGACTGTGATACAGGGCAAATGGAGGAAAGTATACACAGTATTTGGGGAGTGCCCGGCCGCAGAGACCTGACTAAGGGAATAAATGGCGAACCGTCTCTGAATCTTGAAATGGGTTAGAAGCTAAAGATCTGGAGAAGGGCATTCAAGGAAGAAATTGTATGAGCAAAAAGTTGCAGGGATAGAAACGTCTAAGGCCTGCGAAGAAATAATAGTGAGGCTGACTAGACGGCCTGCTGCAGGTTTTCATGGAAATTCGACTGGAACACAATGAACTCTTTGAACAGGAGAGGCGGCTGCGGAGAACCGGTGGATGTGGGCAAGAGTGTAGAGGTAGAATTTGGTGAGTTTAAGGTGAGAATTGAGAAAGTAGATGCTATCAGAGACTTGGGGACTGCTAGTTGAGTTCACTGATTGGTGGTAATACAGGTAGAGAATTCAGGAGGAAAAGGGAAAATAACAAGGTGAGTTTTGTCCTCGCACAATTGGAGACACCTGCAAAATAAGCAATTAAGACCTCTACCCACCAGCTAGTTGTTGTTAATTGCCGTTGAGTCGATTCTGACTCACAGAGACTCTACATAGGGTTTCCAAGGAGCAGATGGTAGTTGTGAACCGCCGACTTTACAGTTAGCACAACAGGACTTCAGCTAGTAGGCAGCTTTAATCTGGGTCTTAAGAAAGTTTTAAAGCTGGAGATACAGATTTTTGAGTCCCCAGTACATGAAGCTGGATGAAATAATTCCCAAGTAGTTTTTAGAGTGAGTTTAGAGGAGAACAGAAGGGCCAAAAGCAGAATTTAAAGATCTGTAAGGAGGAGAGAAAAGTTTGGGAAGGAGTGACCATGATCGGGAATACTAAGAGTAGAAGCATAGGGAGAGAGCTGTTCCTGATGCCAAAGACGGAGGCCGTGGTGAGAGGGAGGGTGGACAGATGCTACTGATAGGTCAGCTAGAATGGGAACCAAGGGCTTGGCAATTCCATAGTCAGGTGACTTTTCAGAGGCTCATTTCAGTAAGGAAGTGAGGGCGGTATTTGGATTGGATGAAGAATAATTGTGCCTATGCACTGAAAACAGTAAGACCTAGAGATGAAGAGAAAGGACACTGCAGGTAGTAATTTATGAAGAACGCAGAGCAAAGAAAGATTGTTTTTTAAGAAGGGCTGAGATTTGAGTTTATTTTGAGGGTGACAGCATGAATTGAGAGGCAGTGGAAGACTGAAGAGATAAGAGAGGGGGATTAGTTAATGAAGCAAAGCCCCAGAAGAGTAAATGTGGTTAAAAGCAAATGTGCCCTTGAAGTGGGTAGGGGTATTATTATTCGTCTTGAATCTCAAACCAGATGAAAAGGTTAACAGTTTTATTTATCCATTTATTTCTGTTGTGAAAATCCTCAGATGTTGGGTGTGTTGACATATGCATCTTTCTTACTAGGCAGCTGCTGTGGCACTTTCTTCCCTGATTCATGCTTTGGATGAATTAGACATGGTGGCCATAGTTCGATATGCTTACGACAAAAGAAGTAACCCTCAAGTGGGCGTGGCTTTTCCGAATATCAAGGATGCCTATGAGGTAACACCCATGGCCTTTTCTATTCAGGTTCTTAGTTTTCTTTTTAGCTTCTTTATTCTAAGTGTGCTTCTCACATGTGCATGGGAATTATTTGGCGGCCTTATTAGGATGCAAATTCTGCTTTGGTAGGTCTGAGATGGGGCCGGAGATTCTGTATCACAAACTCCCAAGTGATGCTCATGCTGCTGGTCTGTGGACTGCACTGTTGAGTAGCAAGGAGGTAGCATAAATGATCAAAGTACAAAGGCGGCTTTTTGGTAATAAAATCAGTAAAGATTGACCAGGACTTGCCTGTTTGCCAAATCCAATGACGGCCTTCTTCAAATAAGAAGAGACTCTATCTCCATGTTCCAACTGGGACTATGGCTAAAAATTGATGATGTGAATTCATTGTGGTCACTGAAATTCACTTTATTTAGTGCTTTTCTATTTTAACACGCAGTCTAGATTCCTTACCAATTTCCTTTTTACCAGAGAGCTTCTTGTGTCAGGTCAGAAAGGAGAAGGCAAATGTCTAGACTTCTAGATCAACTTTCCTGTTACCCTGACTCTTCTCACCAGATGTGTTGGACGTACATTTGCAGTTATTCTTGGTATTCTTTCTTCTAAGCATTTCTTTTATGTTAAATATTCTTTGTACTGTTTGCAATTGTGATCTCTACTTTTTACGTATCAGATTCAGCTGTCTGATTTGTGGAATATCTTTGTTGGGCCACTTTTGCAGCATTGGGACCAGCTTTACATTTTTTTCCATTAATTTGGTTGTTTCTGCTCTACCCCCTTTCTTTCTCATTAGTGTTTAATATATATACAGCTGCCTTTCATGGAAGACTTACGGCAATACATGTTTTCATCCTTGAAAAGTAATAAGAAATACACTCCCACAGGTGAGTTTGTATCCACTTGGCTCACTTATTGACTCTAAACACAGCCTGTTCTTGGGAAATGACCTGTTATTGGCCGGGGGCCAGGGTTTCACTAGGTGGAATTGCTGGATTCCAATCATGCACAGTGACAGTGAGGGTGGTTCACTGTGTGTGTTTCCAGGAGTAGTATTAGGTTTGCTCTCAACTCTCCAAACACTCACTGTAGGTTTCCCAACTGACTTCAAGCTTAAGGAGCAGCTTGCTGGAAATGGATGCACATTCTCTACTTGTGAGCAGGTTTGTCTTTTGGAGAAGTGAAGCGACTTTCAGGATCAAACCTTGACTGTAGAAAGTGTCCCGCATAAAATCTAGTGGAGCTGTGAAGTAAAAAATTAACAGTTCTGGAAATGAGCTTTTCTCTTCACTTTTTCCTTGTGGTTTCTAGTAACAGTCCAAGTATCATTGATCCATCTCTCTTGCTTCTAAGAGTCGCTGAGCTTGATGAGGAGGAGGGCCGTCCTTAGGCATCAGGCTTCAGGTGTCACAGCAGTATACAGACAGATTTACATTGCTATAGCTCTGTCTTCTCACACTTAGTTTAAACAGTTGTGATAAAATATGCATTCTGTACCAAAGAGAACAGAAAATGAGTTGGATGTTTTACTTGACAAGTTTCTATTTTTAGTGGCAGTGTAGGATTAGGGAATTGTAAGTTGTGTTAGAACTGGGCTCTCTCTGTGACATGACTTTAGTTAGACCCTGTCGGAGCAGTGTGCTGTGGGAAGGCCAGGAATTCTAAGCTGAGTCCCCTACACCACATGGAGTCCAGCAGGTGGGCAAGGATCTGAGTGTGTGGGCAAAGCTGCCTCTGTGCTCTGTGTCTGCTGCTTTATGATCTCAAACTGTAACCAGCTTTGAACGTCTACAGGAGAGAACTTTACTGAGAAGTCGTTGTGATAGATCTCAATCACTCGGGATCTAAAACATCCTGACCAGGTTTCTGTGAGTTAAACATGTTGTGAAACAATGAGTCATTAATGTTGTTTGGCATTTATCCCGAATAGACATGTATGTGTCTCTGTTGTTGCTGTTAGGTAGCCGTTGAGTCAGTTTCAACTCACAGAGTAGGGTTTTCCAGGCATGTAGGGGTGTGCAATACCAGAGCAGTCTGACCTGGTTACTCACTGAATCTTCACACATACAGGATCACCTCCTCCCTACGGCCAGGTGACCCCTGCAATGATCACATTACCGAGCAAACAACAGTGCCACTGTCTGATTGCTCCCCTGCAAAGTCCAAACGCAGGGCGAGAGAAGAAATGTCTCATGATCAATGTCTGTGTGCTGTTTCATTTTGGTGTAGCTGTTGAGAAGGGATATTTGAAGTATAAAGAAAAGAAGCATAACACGCTTTTCAGGAAATGCTTACTCTTTCCCACCTTTTCTTAGCGATTGTAAATGATTCAAGAACAGCATTTCAGTTCAACAGGTGAACTGCTGTATGAATCAGCAAAATGAGAGCTGTCCTTGGTACTTTAGGTGGAATTGGGTTTGAAAGAGCTGCCTTTGAATTGTGCCACTTTTGCTGACTTGTAGGTTTTCATTGAGCAGCACTTGCTTTCTATTAAGGATTAGGAGAGACCGAGAAGAAGCAGGGCATATTTTGCACTCAAGGAGATTAGAGCTTGAATGGAGTGGGATAAGACATGCACACAGATGCCATCATGTATGCAGTCTGTGCTTAGTGCCGTGAGGCTCTGGGAGAGGAGAGAGGTGATTCTGACTTGGAGCGAATATGAAGGAATCAGTCCACTCTGTTCCAGCGGGTCTTCGTGGTAAGGTGGTACATTCCAATGCAAGTACGAGGGTAAATAAAAAATTATCTGCACTCTGGCTGTAGGATTTATTTTAATCAACTTTTAGAAAAGACAGCTACATCATTTTTCAACATAATCTCCTTGCTTTTCAGTACACTTTGTCCATCTGTTAACTAGCTTTCACATTCCCTTATTTAAAAAGTTTCAGGCTGAGCTGAGAGCCACAAATGCACCACTGTCTTCACTTCCTTATCAGAGGCGAATCTTTGTCCTCGAAGGGCTGCTTTCAGGAGACCATTCAGGGGACCAAATAGGTGAAAGTCCAATGGAGCAAGATCAGGACTACAGGGGGATGCTTTAATACCTCAAAAAGAAGTTTTTGCAGAGTGTCAATAGTGTGGGCAGAGGTGTGTGGACATTGTCATGCAAGATCACAACACCCTCAGATAGCAGTCCTCTGTGTTTAATCCGAAGTTTAGGCTTCAGCTTTTCAGTGAGTATCTCACTGTAACGAGCACTGTTGATTGTTGAACTTTTTTCCTGATAGCGTTCCAATACTGGCTCTTGAGAATCCCAAAAAACTGAAAGCATCAATTTAACAGCTGATGGTTGACTTTTGAACACTTTTTTGGTCGACAGTTAAAGGATGTTTCCATTCCATACTCTTAGACTCGTAGTGATGAATTTACGTCTTGTCACCAGTAATGTTTTGTGGGTTTTTAAAAAATGTTTTATTGTGAATTATGTGATAGTTTACATGGGAGAACATTAGCTTTACATTCATCCTGTCGCATATCGTTTCATTGCCATGGTTACAATCCCCTCCATGAGTCATCACCCAACCAAAGGGTATACCCCGCAAGCCTGCCTCCTGGTCATCAGCACACAGTCACTCTCCGTCTCTGGGGCTACAGTCCCCAGCCGTTCCATCTCTCCACGTCATCATCTCTGCCTTCATCTCTGGTGTCACTGCTTCTCTGGGTAGGGTCCCACACTCCACTCTTCTCCCTTGATGGTTCCAGGGACCTCTGCTCCTGGACTGTAAAGTCAATCACTCCCCTCCTTTAGCTACAAAATGTCCACTTTTACATTTCCAACCCTCACAGTCAGTCCTGATAAAAATTATTCACCATTGTACCACAAGGGACCTATCCACATCTCCTTTCATCAGCCCTGCCTAGACAGATTGGATACTACTCAGTGGAGATTCTACCTTGCTCCACACCCTCTGGATCTAGGTTCCCTCTTGAAAGCTTGTAAGCCAGTCACTTCTTGCCTTTGTAGTCTCCCCATTTTGGGTAGCCATTGTCCAAGTTGCCTATCCCTGTCTACTCTGTGTATGGAGGGGGTGGGAATGATCCTTGCTGTAAAGACTTGTTCCCTCTTTTGAGCTACTGCATCCATAGGTGTAGGTCAAGTTCATCAAATTGTATCAGATTACTCCTTTTTTCCTCTTCTTTCTTCTTCTAGTTGAGCTCTGAAGCCAGGTCAAGTGGGCATTATCTGCAAGTGTGGATGTTCTTATGCATATGCCCTCTCTTCTTGCCAGTTTTTTAAAGAACTTTTTATATTCCTTTGAGTATCAGTCCAAGTTTTGTTTGCAGATGTCCAAGTGCTTCTGTTTATCCTCTTCTATGAGTTGTTTTGGTGCCCATCTTGCACAAAGTTTTCAAAACCCAAGTCTGTCAAGGATTCTTTCATAGCCAGAGCAATGGCTGATTTGCAGATGGTGTGCCACATAATCCACTGCCACGCGTCTGTTCTACAGAATCATGTACACACTCAATGTTGTCCTCAGCCGTGGACGTGGATGGGTGTTGTAATATAACTGGAGCATAGGTATTTTTCTCTCACCCTGTATATTCAACTCTTCTGAAGCTTCTTCATTATCAAAGGGTTTTTTAAAAATGTTTTTCTCCTTTTGCTAATTACCAGTGTTTTGAATAGAGAATACGTTGGGCAGAGCCAGGACTGTGCAACCTGCCAGTGTTGCTGTGGATGCCTATGAATGGAAAACGTTGTGTTCATGGAGAATAGATATCTTATTATTTTTTCCTTTTGTTTGTGTTCCTTGGTACTTGCAGAGGCTCAGCTGAATGCTGTTGATGCTTTGATTGATTCCATGAGTTTGGTGAAGAAAGATGAGGAGGAAGGCATCATTGAAGACTTGTTTCCAACCACCAAAATCCCTAATCCGCGATTTCAGAGGCTATTCCAGGTGAGAGACCAAAGATGTGCTAATCATATGGTTTCAAATGATAGAGAACTGAGTGAAGAGTCTGGGTAACTGGCTAGTCCCAAACCAGGTCTCTATTCTCCAAGTCATGTTATCATTCTGTCTGTGTAATGAAGGATTAGTCCTTTCCTCATCGTGCTTTAGAAAGATAAAAATACTCTGAGCTTTTAAAGATTGGGATGATAACCCAAACTCACCCCCCACCGCTCATGAAGAAGGGTAATTTTCCTTAAAAAATATAGGAGCACTTAACAAAAAGCAAGTTTTATGCTTTCTAGGGTATAAAAAGCGGGTGCGGGGGGGACACGACTTTTTCTACCTAAGCTTATAGCATCATTCATGGGCCATACAAAATTATCAACAAAATTAGACTGCTGTATTTGGGTAAACATTTAATTAGCTCACCCCTAAAGATGAGGCTTTCTGCTCCTGTAAAGATTTGCAGCCTCGGAAACCCTGTATAGGGTCGCTATGAGTTGGAACCAGCTCCATGGCACATAACAACAACAACAACAACGTGATGGCTCTACCACTCATCTGTCAGTTTGCTGTACCATGGTGGCATGCATGTTTCTGTGATTCTGGAAGCTCTGCCACGGGTATTTTAAATACCAGCAGGGTCACCCACAGTGGACAGTTTTCAGCTGACCTTCCAGATGAAGACAGACTAGGAAGAAGGAGAGATGGACTACTTCTGAATATTTAGTCACTGAAAACCTTATGAATATCAGTGGAACACTGTTAGCACCAGAATATGAATATTTAAACATGATGAAAAGCACCAGAATATTGTCAGATGTAGTGTCAGAAGATAAGCCCCTCAGGTTGGAAGGCACGCGAAATGCGACTGGGGAAGAGCTGCCTCCTCAAAGTAGAGTTGACTGTGATGACACGAATGGAGTAAAGCCTGTGGGAGTAAAGCCCGCGGGACCCTCATTAGCTGTTGGTGGGGATGTTGGTTGCAACCCTGCATAGGGTTTCCAAGGCTGTAAATCTTTACGGGAGCGGAAAGCCTCATCTTTCTCGGAAAAACAGCTGGTAAACACTGTGTTACCAGAGCTCTTTATTAGCTGATGGAGCACAACTTAAAATGAAGAGAAACAGCTGTAAATACCCACTAATAAATTGGAACATGAAATGTATGAAGTGTATGAATTTAGGAAAATTGGAAATTGTCAAAAATGAAATGGAATGTAAACATCGATATCTCAGTCATTATTAGTGAGTTAAAATGGACTGGTATTGGCCATTTTGAATCTGACAATCACATGGTTTACTATGCTAGGAATGACAAATTGAAGAGAAATGGCATTGCATTCATCATCAAAAAGAATATATCAAGATCAGTCATGAAACACAACACCATCTGGGACAGGATAATACCCATATGCCTACAGGAAAGACCAGTTAATACCACTCACTACTATTCAGATTTATGCACCAACCACTAAAGTCAGTGATGATGAAGTTGCAGTTGAGTATAATTACTAGTCTGACACCCCTGGTCCTTCTGACAAGTGGACCTAAAGACCTGAAGACCTGTAGGGAAAGGAGAAGTAGACCAAATGGTGTGGAACACTTCTGAAAACACGAGTGCTGGTGTGGCGCTGTAGGATGAGCACTGGACTGCTAACCATAAAGTTGGTGGTTCAAAGCCACCAGCCACTCCTTGGAAATCCCATATAGGATTGCTGTTAGTTGGAACCCACTTATTGGCACTTAACAACACAACAACATGGTGAAAAAGAGAAACTTTAAATATTTGGTGGATTTACCAGGCACTACATCAATGGACTCAAGTGTGGCAACAGTAGTGAAGTTGTCCCAGGATCGGGTAGTGTTTCGTTCTGCTGTGCTTAAGGTCGCTATGAGTCAGTACTGACTCGATGGCACCTAACAACAACAACAACTTATCAGTGGAGTCCTGGTGTGGTGCTGTGGACTAATGCACTAGACTGCAAAGTTGTTTGAACCACAAGGTCGGTGGTTCAAGCTTGCCAGCTGCTCTTTGGAAACCCTATACAAGGTCGCTATGGGTCAGAACATACTCAGTGGCACTTCACAACAACAACACTTATCATCAATAACTGTGTGTTGGAATAATGAGCAGACACAGCCATAAACACAGGCACGTTTGTCTTGCAAAAAGCTGCAAGTACTGGCAACTTTGATTTTTAACAACTTCCCAGCTTTGTTTTTTTCTGTGGAAGAAGTTTTCAAATTAGGCATTATAAATGCTAGGATGTTTGTAAATTGAATTAACCTTTCTTCCCCTCCCAGGAACAAATATTTATTGAGTACTAACAATGTACTGAGGTCCTGGTGTGGCACTGTGGGTTAATGCGCTGGACAGCAAGGTCGGTTTAAATTGCAAGGTCGGCAGTTCATGCTCACCAGCTACTCCTTGGAAATCCTATACAAGGTCACTGTGGGTCAGAACCAACTCAGTGGCACTTAACAACAGCAACACAATACTGTGTACTGGGGACAGTATAAGGTCACTACTTGCGTGGACTCTCCAGACAAGTAGAGAAGCAGGGAGGCTACAGAGCCCATAGTTACAATGGGTGGGCACAACATGCTATAGGAGTAAGGGGAGAAAGGGATTCTTGTGAAGGGGTGGGGTAAGGAAGGCTTCCTTGTGGAAATAACATTTTGGCAGAGTTCTAAAAGAAAAAACGGGTGTGATGCGTGGCAAAGGTAGGCCGGGAAAAAGATACAGCGTATGCAAAGGCATGAAAACATCAAGCGTGCTGTGTTAGAACCCCACAAATGGTGGAAAGTGGCAGGGCAGGTAAGCAACGGGTAGGTGATGAAGTACCCTATGTGCTCCACTCAGTAGTTTGGATTTGGTCCTGTACGCAGAGGGTAGTCTGCCAGCAGGTAGGTGTTCGACATGGTTTTAAAAACAGCCCTGATGACCACATAGGAAGTAGAGTGAATTGGGAGAGACAGGAGGCAAGAGGAGCAGTTAGGAAACTCACATTGTGGAGGAGAGTGGAGAGAGTAGATTCTGAAGGCATTTAGACGCTGAAGTCCTAACTGAACAGATAGGACTAGTGGGTCATAAGGAGAAGCAGAGAAATGGAGGGTAACAAGATCCTTGTTTGGGTGACTGAAAGGATGCTGTCACCACTAATTGTGATCAAGAACATTCATTTTCATAAATGCTAACTTTGAACTATCTCTTGGAGATCTGAGTACAGTCATCAGTGGGCAGTTGAGAATAGTGATGTGGAGCCCAGTTCTCAGTGGGTATACTTGATCATTCTGCTCCTTTAGGTAGAAACGGTAGATGTGAATGAGATTGCCTGGGAGAGCGTGTGTGTGTAAGCAGGAAACATGGGAACAGTTAGGAGAAGACTAAAGAAAATCTCTCTCCCTCTACCTGTACCCTTCTGAAAAAGAGGTCAGAGAGAGAAGTGGTGCCCCAGGAAGCAGGGGAACAGAAAGGGGTCATAAAGGAAGACTCAACTAGTCAGGTGCTGTGGGAGGGCCAGCAAAGGGTCGTTGGGATCCCAGGCCAATAGAGCAGTAGGGGAGCTAGGTTACATGCATGGTGGAGGAAAGTCTTTTGAAGAGGAAGAGGATTTGGGGCCCAGGAAGATGGCTTTTTTTCTCTCTTTAAATGAACACTCTGTGCTGTGCTGTCAAGTCAGTTCTGCCTTGTAACAGCCCCTCTCCCCTTTATAGGGCTTCCAAGGAGAGGCTGGTGAGTTTTGAACCATTAACTTTGTGGTTAGCAGTCCAGTGCTTATCCTACAGTGCCACACTAGGACTAAGGGTAAATGAGTTGGATAGAAAGGAGTAGGAGGCAGAAAGGAGGGAGAGATCAATCGTCAATTTGTTGACAGGAAGTTAGTTTAATTCTAATTTTGAAAAGAATTGTTTTTTCTGAATATACAGGCAAAACTGCCACTTAAATGATGGCTACCACCCTCACCACCACCAGTTGCTGTTGAGAACACTCATGGTGACCGTGTGTGTGTCAGAACAGAACTGTGCTTCATAAACTTGCTTTATTTTCAGTGTTGACTTTATGTTGCTGCTCTGTTGTTTTTAGGTTTTCATTTATGGTTGTCTCCTTTTGTCTTTTGGAAAGTTGACTGCCAGGGCATTCTTCCAAAGTTGCTGCAGTGTTACTGAGATCAACATGTTAATAACTTCTGAGTCACCCAGTGAGAAACCTCATTAATCCCCAAATACCAGTCAGAAGAGTTCTTCAACTGGCAATGTCAATGGTGGTGTCCTTTCACTTTGGGGATGTCATATTAGACAGAATCCATTTATTAAAATTATTTTTGTGTCATATCTAAATGGTAATAGCTTACAAATTTTTAATGTGGTCTGAAGTTTTCTCTCTAGTTTTTGTCATTAAAAAAAAAAAATCACATCAAAGGACTAACAGTTGTTAAAAGAGAATAAGTAGATCAAAGTCTGTGATCTTAGCTTCCCAGTTGCTGAAAAAAGTCACTTTTTTATAACTTCATTTTGTAAAATAAATTGGGATTTGTTGCTCAAAAGCATCTAATAAGTATCTCACTTAAATTTGCTTGCCTCAGATATGACCACTGAGAAATTATAAGAGAGAGAATGATACTTCGGAGCATCTGTTGTAGATGTTTTGTTATTTATTCATGGTTGAAGACCCTGGTTGGAAGTGTCTGGAGTCTAGAATGGAAATCTGGGATGTTTTCAGTTGGGAGGCTGGGTAGGACAGTCACCCCAAGGTGGTTTTAGCAAGTTAACCATGTCACCAGTCGAGCCCTCCACAGATGTGAAGAGTTGTGTGCAGTGTGGTGTGTTCTTTCACAGCTTACAGCTTCAGGCTTTCAAAACGGCTACTGATACTTTAATGAACTGAGGAAGAGTCCTGGGAAATAAGGGTTATGCATGAGATGTTCAGGGTCGATTCACAGGGCCTGGGATCATTTTTTGGCTTCCCCCTTTGCTTTACATTAAACAAGCCTGATGTTATTGAT